TGCTTACCTTCCTTATCTGTCTGGAAGTTCTTACTCAGTCCTCAAGATCCATTACCTTCTCTGTGAAACATTTTCTTACATCCCTGAGTAGAGATTGACATCTTCCTTGCTTCCATTGTGCCTATCACGCCGTGTTTTATTTATGTCTTCTCGACTAGTCCATTAGTTACTAATGAATGATGATTGCATTCGTCTTGTACCCAAGAACCTAGAAAAGTACCTGGCACTCATATAAGGTCCCTCAGAAATGTTTGTTTATCCCAAAGGCTAAATACAAATAGGCTAAAAACAACCCCTTACACTACATAATAGTTATATTGCTGATTCCTGTTTTTGGTTAAATTACCACAGATTTTTAACTCCCCTTAAAGCCATGCAGAGTCTCCGTGAATATTGCTATGATTGTAAAGTATCTATTTCCTAAGCTTAAAATGGAAATAAAAGTAAATATTTTATTTACTTTTATTAAATAAAAGTAAATACTAGGGCGATAGTAATAGCATATTGGTGAAAAGCACTGGTTTGTAGCCTGTTCAATGATTTCATCTCAGTTATAATACTAATTTGCTGAATGACTGTTGGCATATTGTCCATATTCTCTGTCTCGATTTCCTCATCTATAACTTGGGCATACTAATACCAACCTTGAGCACTTATTGTTAGGACTGAATGAGGTAATTTATGTAAAGTGCTTAACGCAGTTGCACGTGGTCCTCCCTAAGCGATCGTATACAAGGGGAGATTTGCATAGAAGTGAAGGAACAAGCTCTGCAGATATCCTGGGTTCACCAGCATGTGCCCTGAGCCAGGACATGCCAGTTCCTGTAGAGAATACTTCGGTTCTTCTCCCGGCGTTTATTCCATTTCTGGGCAACCCCTAAGCCCCGCCCCCCCCGCCCCCACCATATTTATACTTATTTACATATGTGTGTAGAGGACATGGTTTTTGGTTCTCAAAAAACTCAGTCTATTAGAAAAATAAGTAAATATATGTCATGAATGTACTATACTAGCATTCTTTTTTTTTTTTAAAGACTTCTTTTGTTGAAGGATTTATATACACAAAAAAATGTGCAGAAATCATGAATTTTCACAAAATCATCACATCCAGCCCATGTTAACATCATCAAATCAAAAGAGAGGACATTTCCAGAACACCAAAATCCTCTCTTGTTCCAATTAGTTATTATCCTCCTAAAGATAACTATTCTGACCTCTGACATCACATACTCCTTTTGCTTTGGTTTTGAATGGAACCATCAGCATGTACTCTTTTGTGTCTGGTTTCTTTCGCTTAATATTAATTTTGAGAGAATCATTGTTTATAGTTATAGTTTGTTCATTCTCATGGCTGTATAATATTATATTCAAACATTGTAGTTCATTCATTCTATGATATGTGGTCATTTAGATTGTTTGTAATATGAAGCTGTGATTTGTGCTGCTTTGAATTTTCTTGAACATGTCATTTGGTTAACATATTATGCATTTCTTTTTTTAATATATTTTTATTTATTTCAGAGAGGAAGGGAGAGGAAGAGAGAGATAGAAACATCAATGATGAGAGGGAATCATTGATTGGCAGCCTCCTGCACACCCCCCACCGGGGACCGAGCCCGAAACCCAGGCATATGCCCTGACCAGAATCGAACTCAGGACCCCTGAGTCCACAGCCCAATGCTCTATACACTGAGCCAAACCAGCTAGGGCTATGCATTTCTTTTTAGTTTACACCTAAGAGTGCAATTCTGGGTCATAGATTAGCTACTATTTTTAATGCTAATGGTGTCAGAGGAAATATAGGAAATAATAAGAAAATAAAGTAGTATTTTAAAATCTATCTATATATATATTTTTTAATATATTTTATTGATTTCTTACAGAGAGGAAGGGAGAGGGATAGAGAGCCAGAAACATCCATGAGAGAGAAACATGGATCAGCTGCCTCCTGCACGCCCTCCCACTGGGGATGTGCCCGCAACCAAGGCACATGCCCTTGACCGGAATCGAACATGTTTAATAATATTAAGATAGAAAAACATTAAAACAGAAAGATGAAATCAGTTTCTACCAACTATTTGATAAAAATTAGTAAGGGTATGATGAAAGAAAAATTAATTACATTTGTTATAGCAAGTGCATTTTTTGTATATGAGTTTTTAAAATATATGATATTGAAACATTCAGCTATTGTGTTTACATATTTTTCTGTTTTTTTCCCCCCCTTAAATTATAGGAACCAGATGTTAAAAAATTAGAAGACAGGCTTCAGGGTGGCCAAATAGAAGAGGTGATTCTTCAGGTAAAGAAAAAGTTGAATATATAGATGTTTGGCTTCAAAAGTTCAGAGACATAATGTGTTGAGGCATGAAACTGACATTCCAGAAAGAAAGGAAAACTAAATTTCTTTTATCAACTCATCAAACATAAGACTAATCACAAGTAGAAAATACTTCTAATGTATATAATAGTCAAATATTGATTATAACTTGAATTTATGAGGCTTCTATTAGAAGTTTGGAGTTTTATGTTCTTTAAATATAATGGTCATGTTCTTATTGGACTTACTTTAGTTCCGATTAGTTATACAATATTACTGTTTCTTGAATAATTTTATCTTTTTAAATACAAATACTTTCAAATTTTAATGGGTTGGTAAGAATACTACAATTTTTAATTAAATTGGGGGAAATGATGCCCCCCCTTTTTTAGTTGTGCATTTACCCCCCAATTACTAGTAAGATTAAATGTTAAAAACAATTTTCTTATATTCCATGTTCTATAAATTATTAGTATTTAAGAAATTTTTTTAATTGCTTTTTTAGAGAGAGACACACTTTGACTTCTTGTTCCACTTATTTATCCATTCATTGGTGATTCTTGTATGTGCCCCGACTGGGGATCAAACCCACAACCCTGGCTTACCTGGATGACACTCCAACCAACTGAACACCCAGCTAGGGCAATTATTAATATTTGGTTGTTGTGAATCCTCACCTGAGGATATTTTTCCATTGATTTTTAGAGAGAGTGGAAAGGGAGGGGAAGAGATAGGGAAACATCGATGTGAGAGAGATACATTGATTGGTTGCCTCTCATATGAGCCCTGACCAGGGCTAGAGATTGAGCCTGCACCTGAGGTACATGCCCTTGACCAGAATCTGACTTAGGACTCTTCAGTCTGTGGGCCCACACTCTATCCACTGAGCCAAACCAGCTAAGGCGATATTTTTATTCTATAATTTTTTTTTTTACATATTTCTTTGAGAGTTGTTTTAAAATAAAAGAGATACTAACCTTCATCTTTTGCCATATTGCCTAAACATTTTTTTTTTTAGCCTGTTGTTTTGTCTTTTGACTTCAATTGGATATTATCTCCCATATGTAGAGGTTTTAAAAATTTTTATTTGGACAAATAATCCTCCCTCTATGTACTCCCATGTCTTCCTCTTATGTGAGTCTTATAAATATTCAGTTTTGTTTCATTTATTTTTTACATTAGAGGCCCGGTGCACGAAAATTCATGCACTGGGGGGCTCCCTCAGCCTGACCTGCCCCCTCTCAAAGTCCGGGAGACCTCAGGGGATGTCCTACTGATGGCTTAGTAGGGGAGTGGGCCTAAGCCGCAGTCTGGTGTCCCTCTGCTGGAGGCGAGGGGCTAATCATGGGAAGCCACTGCCCCCATCACCCTCTTGCTGCTGCTGCTGCCTCTGGCCTCCCTCTGTGGGAGGCGACTGGGCTGATCAGGGAAGGCGACGCCCCCATCGTGCCACTGCTGCTGCCACTGCCAGCCAGCGCTGAGCCTTGGCCTGGCCCTTGCAGCAGCTGCCGCCATGCCAGCTGCGGCTTGCCTGGGCTTGAATCTCAGCCTCGGCCCTCGTAGCAGCTGCCGCCATGCCATCCACGGCTTGCCTGGGCCTGGGTCTTGGCCTCCAACCCCCGAGGCCTGGCCGCACTGGGAGCTGGGAGGAGGTGGGACTCCCAGGCAGGCTCCGTGCCTTGCCTGCAGCATCAAGACCAGCCACGCCCACCTGCGCGTGCCCTCTGTGCACCCAGCCATCTTGTGACGGTGTGGCGACTACTTAGCCTTTTATTAGTAAGGATTTTTTTGAATTTTTCAAAAAGGTAATCATTTTTTCTTAAGTTTTCTTGCCTTTTATCAAAGGATAAATAAGGAAATATTCGAAATTATTGTAGATTAGGGAAGTATTTAACTAATAGACATATTTAAAAGCATTGTTAGATGGCTCCGTTAAAAGAAAAATAGGGCATTCAGACAGCTTTTGATGAATGTCCTGTTTCAATCTTTAGAGGCCTATTTTCCTGGCCTTTCTGCTCATTAGCATAAGGTACTAGATGTAGAGTATGGGAACTTACTGGAAACTTATTATTGTCCTCTTCCTAATCCTCTTTCTTTTCTACCTGATTTCACTTTGATCATGACTTTAGTTGATAAATTATCAAGCAATTGTAGTCTCATGATACATTATTTTAAGTCAGTTCTGCATTTCTGCACATTTTCATGGGCAATATAAGGTTAATATTTCTATATAATTAAAGGGTAATATGCAAATTAATCCTAATGCCGGAACGACCAGTCGCCTCCTTGGCAGCACTAAGGATGTCAGTTAGACATCCCCCGAGGGCTCCTGGGCTGCCAAAGGGAAGTCTGACTGCCACCTAGGCCCGATGCCCCGGGGAGCGAGCTTAAGCTGGCAGGTGGACATCCTCTAAGGGGTCCCGGACTGCGAGAGGGCGCAGGCCGGGCCAAGGGACCCCCGCCCCCGAGTGAACGAATTTTTGTGTATCGGGCCTCTAGTGTTTTATATAACCCAATATATCTAAAATATTATTGAAACATAAGTATAAAAAATTGAGATATTTTACATTCTTTTTTATACTGAATCTTCAAAATTTGATGTGTATTTTAATACGTGCAGCACATCTGAATTTGAACTAGCTACATTGCAACTGCTCACTCAGTAGTCACATGTAGATAGTGCTTACCATATTGGACTGCCCATTCTAGAGCTATAGTAAGAGAGGGATGAGGAAAGGATAGTGTGTCAGAAGCTAGAGATGAGTGAAGGAGTGGGCTACAAGGGCTATATGCAACTGGGTCCAGCTCTCTGAAATAAGGCTGGCTTCACTGATGGTTAGAGCTGGACGGCCTCCCCACACTACGGTGCTTTGGGGGCATAGAGAAAGCATGAATATTCAAGAGACCCAGATCAGGGAAATGACCATCCTAAGGGATATTTTTAATCAGTATTTATACTGTTTTCTTATTTCAGCCTTGGTAAATACTTGTACCTCCAGATTTCCTTTAGTCTACTATTTAACTCATTGTTTATATACTTTTTAGACTGTTGCTGCTAAACATAGATTGGCTGTTTTGAACCACTTGAGAATTATAGCTTCTGCTAGGATGAATCTAGCACTTACTCTATTTTGAATTCCTTCCATGACATCCTGACAAGTGTTCAACAGTGTTCTTCTAAGTTGGCCAGAGTTGTCATAGGTCTCTTAGTTCTAGAAAAAATGTGAAATAAGAAGATACATAAAATATATTTGTTAGATGTGTTATGAATTGTATTTGAAAGGAAAAAGCGAATGTAACAATCTGATTAAGGAAACTAGTTCAATCAAAAATATTTTTGTGTGCCTACTGCATTCTACATTCCATAGATCACTGTTTTACAGACTGGTCTCAAGTGATTATGGGTCATGAAATCAGATAGGTGGGTTGTGTCTAGTACTTAAAAAAATACAACAGAGCCTGGCTGGCATGGCTCAGCAGTTGAGTGTTGAACTATGAACCAGGCACGTGCTGGGTTGCAGGCTCAGAGCCATGTATAAGGCAGCTGATCAATGATTCTCTCTTATCATTGATGTTTCTCTCTCTCCCTTTCCCTTACTCTCTGAAATCAGTAAAAAAAAAAATGTTAAAAAATACAATAGAATATAGAGTGTATCACAGCTAGTAAATGTAATATTTTTTTCTTTGAGTTATATGTGTGTGTTATAGATCCTTAGTAAAATTTTGTTTTGTTTCTTTTGTTTTTACTCTGGACTGTGGTGAAATAAAATTTGAAAGCCATTGACATCAATGAAGAGACATACTTTTGCTTCTCAAAGAATTTGTAGTCTAATGGTGAAATAGACAATTAAGATAAAAAAACTCACTAATTAAACTTTTGAACTAGAATCTAATATCAAATTTTAATCAAATAGAAGAAATAAAAATCTATTCTTTCTTACTCTTGGTAGTTACATAACTGACAGTTAAGGTAACATTAATTAATAATCAACACTTGATAAAACAGCTTATTAGGTACGACTATGAAAATAGTAGCTCTAGTAGTTATATTTTAGTTATTAGCTACGGTAAATATCTATGAAACAGTATAAGCAAATGATTTTTAAAAAATATTTTATTGACAGGCTGAAAATGAACTAAGTCTGGCAAGAAAAATGATACAGTGGAAGCCATGGGAGCCTTTAGTGGATGAGCCTCCTGCCAACCAATGGAAATGGCCAATATAATCATCATCAAATAACTCGTGTGTTGAAGGGAAAATGATGTGATTAAATGTTCTGTTATATCAAAAATGTTTCCATATCATTGACATCTTAGAATCAAGAAAACTGATAATGCAGATCGTTTTTAGGAGACTTGTAAAAACTGATAATTATGGTAACAGGGACTTGCAAATCAGTTTTTGTTAAAGCATTCAAATTGTCCTATATAATAAAACCCTAATATGCAAATCAACCGAATGGCAGAACAACCGGTTGCTATGACATGCATTGACCACCAGGGGCCAGATGCTTAATGCAGAAGCTGCCCCCTGATGGTCAGTGCACTCCCACAGGGGGAGCTCTGCTCAGCCACAAGCCAGGCTGAGGGCTGCAAGTACAGCAGCAGTGGTGGGAGCCTCTCCCGTCTCCTCAGCAGCACTAAGGATATCTGACTGTGGTTTAGGCCCGTTCTTCGTGGGGAGCGGGCCTAAGCCTTTGGTCAGACATCCCCCCTGGGCTGCCAGAGAGATGTATGACTGCCAGCTTAGGCCTAATTCCCCAGGGAGCGAGCCTAAGCCTGCAGTCGGACATCCCTCGAGGGGTCCCCGACCATGAGAAGGCACAGGCCAGCTGGATTGCGAGAGGGTGCAGGCCGGGCTGAGGGACTCCCCCTCACCTCCCCACCCCTGTGCACAAAATTTCGTGTACTGGGCCTCTAGTTTCAAAGATAATATATTTTTAAATAGAGGTTTTAGGAAGATTTGAAAGTTAATTGGAAAAATTCTTACATGTTTTGAAACCAGAAAAGAAGTTATTGCTTAAACAAATGTATAGGTCACTATTTGAAGTGAAGTAGCAAGAGTAAAAACCATTAGAATTGATTGTACAGTTGAGGAAATTGATTTGTATTTGAAAGAAAGATTTACAGTGGTAGTTGGAAAACTTTTTTGGGGGAGGTCTCATTTAAGAGAGTTAAGTTTTTGGTCCTTAACCAGAGTACATCAGTAAAGAAAGAGAATTTCTGTACAAGAAGATATATTAAGAGTTTCTAAAGTTTATCTGGCATATGGATAGGCTTATTTTCAAAATGGTTATAACTTCCAAGTGAAATCACTAAGGAGTTTTTACTAAGTTTCCAATATGAGGTAGTTGGTTTTCAAACAACATAAAACTGTTCAAGGAAAAAAGTGATTGATATGTTTAAGGGTAAACAAAAATAAAGTTACTTTTCAGGTGTCCTCTTTTCTTTCTAGCCCTATATCATTCTAGAAATTCAGTTAAATTGGTATTTCTTGCCTTCAAAGATAGTGCTTTTGGGTGTCTGTGTGGATGTGCATGTGCATGTGCATTTCGCTCTCTCTGTGGCAAAGTAGAATCTTTTAGAATGAGAAAAAAATTATATTTTTCCCCCCCAATATATTCCGTTATAGAGCTGTACATTGAATGCTTAGTAAATATTAAATGAAGTGGATTGAGTTACTTTTCAGCAGAG